TCACTGTTGTGACTGTTACAACCATCACTGCTGTGACTGTTACAACCACCACTGCTGTGACTGTTACAACTATCACTGTTGTGACTGTTACAACCACCACTGCTGTGACTGTTACAACTATCACTGTTGTGACTGTTACAACCATCACTGCTGTGACTGTTACAACTATCACTGTTGTGACTGTTACAACCATCACTGCTGTGACTGTTACAACTATCACTGCTGTGACTGTTAAAACCACCATTACTGTGACTGCTACAACCACCACTGCTGTGACTGTCACAACCACCACTGCTGTGACTGTTACAACCACCACTGCTGTGACTGTCACAATCACCACTGCTGTGACTGTTACAACCACTATTGCTGTGACTGTCACAATCACCACTGCTGTGACTGTTACAACCACTACTGATGTGACTGTTACAACCACCATTGCTGTGACTGTCACAATCACCACTGCTGTGACTGTTACAACCACCTTTGCTGTGACTGTCACAACCACCACTGCTGTGACTGTTACAACCACTACTGCTGTGACTGTTACAACCACTACTGCTGTGACTGTTACAATCACCACTGCTGTGACTGTTACAACCACCACTGCTGTGCCTGTCACAACCAACACTGCTGTGACTGTTACAACCACCACTGCTGTGACTTACAACCACCACTGCTGTGACTGTTACAACCACCACTGCTGTGACTGTTACAACCACCACTGCTGTGACTGTTACAACCACCACAGCTGTGCCTGTCACAATCACCACTGCTTTGCCTGTCACAACCACCACTTCTGTGACTGTTACAACCACCATTGCTGTGACTGTTACAACCGGCACTGCTGTGAATGTTACAAAGAACATTGCTGTGACTGTTACAACCACAACTTCTGTGACTGTCACAATCACCACTGCTGTGACTGTTACAACCACCATTGCTGTGACTGTCACAACCACCATTGCTGTGACTGTTACAACCACCACTTCTGTGAGTGTCACAACCACCACTGCTGTGCCTGTCACAACCACCACTGGTGTGACTGTTACAACCACCACTGCTGTGACTGTTACAACCACCACTGCTGTGACTGTTGCAACAACCACTGCTGTGACTGTTACAACCACCACTGCTGTGACTGTTACAACCACCACTGCTGTGACTGTTACAACCACCATCGCTGTGATTGTCACAACCACCACAGCTGTGACTGTCACAACCACCACTGCTGTGACTGTTACAACCACCACTGCTGTGACTGTTACAACCAACACTGCTGTGAATGTTACAAAGAGCATTGCTGTGACTGTTACAACCACAACTTCTGTGACTGTCACAATCACCACTGTTGTGACTGTTACAACCACCATTGCTGTGACTGTCACAACCACCACTGCTGTGACTGTTACAACCACCACTTCTGTGACTGTCACAAGCACCACTGCTGTGCCTCTCACAACCACCACTGTTGTGACTGTTACAACCACCACTACTGTGACTACCACAACCACCACTGCTGTTTTGTGTGGTTCATTGTCAATTGTTCACACTGACGATGTTACTGAGCTGACTTCAGGAACCTGTTGACTTCAGTTTGTCCCAGAGTAGTATGTTGCATCCTGTACTTACCTAGGTCATGTCTAGGTGGTTCATGAACCTAACTTTCAGTTTCAGTGGCTAGTTCCAATCTGCTGTAACACTGTTTACGATTAGAATTCACATTTCGAGAGAGAGAGAGAGACAGAGAGAGAGAGAGAGAGAGAGAGAGAGAGAGAGAGAGAGAGAGAGAGAGAGAGAGAGAGAGAGAGAGAGAGAGAGAGAGAGAGAGAGAGAGAGAGAGAGAGAGAGTGAGAGAACTGTAATCGTCTTAGTATCTAGATCAACACCACACAATGCAAGGTACTACCCATCTCAGACACAGCCTTCCTCTGCTCCCTCCGTCACGTCTTACTGGAGACAGTACCATGGTCACTGCTTGGTATCACGCCCATCAACATTCTGCAACATTGCTTGGCTCCCTAGCGAGGTCAATGATTGCTTTGTAAGCTTTAAAGTCTATCTACTACACGAGCGCCATTAAGGCCGCATGTCACCTGTTCACCACCAAGAACAGTCTCAATACTGTGATTGGTATAATACACAAATAACCTCCACATTGGAGAGATAAACTTGTTACGACGTTTCGGCCTGACTTGGACTATTGACAAGTCGCACTGTGACTTGTTTTTTAATTGTGTATTGTTCACCCCCTTTCAGCGTCTCTGTAACACCTATAATAGTGGATTAAAGTAACTCTAAGTGATCAGTAATAATCCAACATGGAGAAAGAAACAGATAAGATTAATTGATCAGTATATTTCGATCCCCTTTTGGGATCCTCTTCAGCAAATACATAAATGAAATGAGAACACGAATCTATTAGGAAGGTTACGCCTCTCGCTGTACGAGAGAGTGAGTTTAGGACGCGTATATCAATCAAGACATACCCTTTTTAAGAGTGAATTCCCTACATGTTTGGTTCTAAATACAGACCAAATGGATGTCCTTGTTTAGACCTAATGCTGAGTACACTGTATAAAAGCGAAGGTGAAATATCTTCAGAGTGCCAAACTCAGAGAATACTGTGACTAACATAAAAACCGAACCACCATCTTCTACCAAATTATATATATATATATATATATATATATTATATATAATTATATATATATATATATATATATATATATATATATATATATATATATATATATAATTTGGCACATCTGTTGTACTGAGAATAGCGTCGCTGGTCAGGCCAGAACATACAGGAGAATGAATTGGCTGGAAACCATGCCTGAGGCTCACTGGTCTAGGAAGAAACGTGGCTTGCAGTCCAGCAGGCTACCTAGGGTTATGAGGCATCTGTAGCTGAGTGGTGTAAGGCGTCAGGTTGGGAGTTAAGCTACACTCGTCGAGAGCTGCCAACGTGAGTTCGAACCCTGTTGACTAACGATATTTCATGAAAATATTGTTGTTATGTATTGTTATTATTATTATTATTATTATTATTATTATTATTATTATTATTATTATTATTATTATTATTATTATTATTATTATTATTATTATTTATTATTATTATTATTATTATTATTATTATTGTTATTATTATTATTATTATTATTATTATTATTATTATTATTATATTATTATTATTATTATTATTATTATTATTATTATTATTATTATTATTATTATTATTATTATTATTATTATTATTATTATTATTTATTATTATTATTTATTATTACCAGCTTCCAGGTACTACACTGTACCCAGCTGTCAATCAGCAACAATCACCAACAACAACCACCACCACCACCAACAGCACAACACCACCACACAAACCGCCCCAACAACAACTACCACCAACAACAACCACCAACAACAGCAACAACCACCAACAACAACCACCACCACCAATAACAACAACCACCACCACCAACAATCACCACCAACAACCACCACCAACAACAGCCTCCACCAACAACAACTACCTCCAAGAACAACCACAAGCAACAACAACAACCACCAACAACAGCAACAACCACCACCACCAACAGCAACCACCAACAACAACCACCACCAACAACAACAACCACCAACAAGAACTACCACCATCAACAAGAACAACCACCAACAACAACAACCACCAAAAACAACAACTACCAACAACAAACCACCACCAACAACAACAACCAACAACAACAACCACCACCACCAGCAACAACCACCACCAACAACAGCAGCCACCAACAACAACAACCAACAACAACAACCACCACCAACAATAACAACTATCAACACCAACAACAACCACCACCAACAACAGCAACTACCACCACTACCAACAACAACCACCACTAACAACAACAACCACCACCACCAACAACTACCACACCACCACCAACAACAACCACCGCCACCCACAACAACCACCACCATGAAGCCTGGTCTCAGACCGAGCCACGGGGACGTTGACCCCCGAAACCTTCTCCAAGTGTACTCCAGGTATACCACCACCACCAACAACAATAAACCACCAACAACAACAATCACTACCAACAACAACAACAACCACCACTACCTACATCAACCACCACCACCAACAACAAACAACAACCACCAACAACAACAGCGATCAACAATAACCACTACCAACAACAACCACCACCAACAACAACAACCACCAATAACAACAACTAAAACTACCAACAACCACCACCACCAAACATGAAAGCTTTAAACCCTAAAATAGGCAGTAAACTCTCAGTGTATATACACTGAGAGATGTGTTCCTCAGTGTATATACACTGAGAGATGTGTTCCTCAGTGTATATACACTGAGAGATGTGTTTCTCAGTGTATATACACTGAGAGATGTGTTCCTCAGTGTATATACACTGAGAGATGTGTTCCTCAGTGTATATACACTGAGAGATGTGTTCCTCAGTGTATATACACTGAGAGATGTGTTTTCTCAGTGTATATACACTGAGAGATGTGTTTCTCAGTGTATATACACTGAGAGATGTGTTCCTCAGAAAGCACTTAACAACATGCTTAGAAATTAAGTCAATAATTACTACCTATATAAATGTAATTAATATTTTCTAAAAATTATTATTTTTATTATTTTAATAATAATAATAATAATTATTATTATTATTATTATAATTATTATTATTACTATTATTATTATTATTATTATTATTATTATTACTATTATTATTATTATTATTATTATTTTTATTATTATTATTATTATATTATTATTATTATTATTATTATCATTGTTGTTGATGTTTATTATTACCAAGGGGACGCGATAAACCCGTCGGAGACATACAGTTTTCTTGGATTTCTTTAAATTACTTGCTGAGCATTACTGCAGAAGCTTCACAACCCTTGCGGGTGTAGCGCTTCCTCGTGAACATAAAAATATATAAAATCTGAGGATATTGTGTTTTCTTCTCATACAATAATACATCATAAATTAATAAAATACTTTATTGTATTTTTTTTTACCTTCTGTAATATACAGTACATTGTAACAGAAATTGTATTATATATTGAGCAAAGGGAAAGGGGAGGGGGTTAGATTCCCCCCTAAAAAGCAGGTGTTTTAAGGGGTCGGGAGCAGGTGTTCCCAAGATTTGAGGAAACAGGTGTTCTTGAAGGTGCAGATGAGATGTTAAGCTGATGAAGGAATCAGGTGTTTTCCTGTATACATGTGACAGGTGTTTTCAGGTGTAGGATACTTGGGTATCCTTAGGTGAGGGCTGTCTAGTGTTGTTGAGGTGACTGCCAGCTAGGAGTAGTGTTCTTGAGGTGACTGCCAGCTAGGAGTAGTGTTCTTGAGGTGACTGCCAGCTAGAAGTAGTGTTCTTGAGGTGACTGCCAGCTAGGAGTAGTGTTCTTGAGGTGACTGCCAGCTAGGAGTAGTGTTCTTGAGGTGACTGCCAGCTAGGAGTAGTGTTCTTGAGGTGACTGCTAGCTAGGAGTAGTGTTCTTCAGGTGACTGCCAGCTAGGAGTAGTGTTCTTCAGGTGACTGCTAGCTAGGAGTAGTATTCTTCAGGTGACTGCCAGCTAGGAGTAGTGTTCTTGAGGTGAATGCTAGCTAAGAGTAGTGTTCTTGAGGCGACTGCCAGTTAGAAGCAGTGTTCTTCAGGTGGCTACCCGCTAGGAGCAGTGTTCTTCAGGTGATCCTGAACAAGGGAACATGTTGCTTCAGCTTCTTGGTAGGTAAGCACAGGTGAACATGTGTCAAGTGATGGCCCTTCCCGACGAGTAGGTGTCGTCAGGTGAGCATCTGCCTTGGATCAGGTGTTCTGAGGTGACTCAGACCACTGAGTCAGCAATCGTTGCTGTTGTGGCCCATCTCAGACCAGCTTCTACCCTGCTCCTGGTCTGGGGTGCCGGAAACACTGAACAGGTCCTCTTGTGACATAAATCCGCGTCGGGGGATTTTTGCCTGACCATAGTACCAACAACAACAATCAACCAGGGATCCGTTTGTCTTCACCACAGCTTGTTCCACTTAGCTGTGACTGTAGCCGTCCAGCACCGTCAATCATCAAGGGCTGGCTGCCAAAAGGGAAGAATCAATTGGAATCTTAGAGGTAGGTGTCTTCACGGGTAAGCTTCACCTTCTGACACAGCGTCATCTCCGAAGTCAAGAGCGAAGCGAACACGTTTCTTTTGTTTGACCTCTATGCTGGGTTCTGGGTGACGCAAGTAAGATCGGAAGAGCTCGGCTAGTTTCTTTTCTGCGGTCTTGAAGAGCGAGTTAGCAGTGGTCTCGGAAGCATCTGAGGCGTCGTCAAAGGCTATGTCGATAGGATCCATACCTTTCACCAGCCAGGAGTCAGTGATATATTTGTATACCTCCTTCACACTTGTACGCTTCTCAGGTTTGGGCTCCAGGAGGCGACGCAGAAGGCGAAGAAGACGAGGAGTGAAGCACCGGAATCGTGATGGTGGTTTATTGGTCTTACGCTTGAGCCAGGTCACCCAGGACTTGTAGTGATGGTCTGTGATGTCGGCCGAGGACCAAGGATATGAACCAGTTAGACACACGAAGATGAGGATGCCGAGTTGCCAAGCATCCTGGCTACTGTGGACATGGTAACCCTCGTTGTAGACAATCTCTTTCACCTCTGGAGGAATACATGGTACGCGAGTGTTTACCTTCTTCACGAGGGATCCCTCTCGCTGTGTGTTGCCGAAATCACCCAGTTTTACGCGTGACATTTCGCGGTCAAAGATAAGGATGTTGTCGAGGGTTACATCACAGTGAACCAGATCCTTACTGTGCACAAATTGCAAAGCGAAGGCAACCTGTTCTGCCACTCGCTTTGTCAACATTTCTCCAAGACCTCCTCGCCTCACGAACTGCGACAAGTCACCTTCAGGGGCCAGCTCTTGTGCGAACACGTAGGAACTGTTGGTGCCAAAAGGAACATGGAAGCTCTTGATAACGTTGGGGTGCGGACTAAGGTAATAATTGTAGTGGAACTCACGGAAGAAATCCTCTTTCTTTGTCGTGCCTTTCTGCACGCACTTGAGGACAACTCTATCATCTGCTTTATGGTGTCTGGCGACAAAGATTTTGGTGTACCAACCAGAAGCCAAAAGACGGACATCATAGAACTGACGGTCCACCTCTAGTCGAGGTAAATCCAGCATTTTGATGTCGTGGAAGCTGTCCGTGCTGCTTCTGCGAGACATATCTGTAAACAAGAAAAATAAAACATAACGCTAAGGTCGAAGAACATTTGTAAATAAGTAATATATGTAAATATATGAAAAACCACAACAGTGAAAATAGAAAATAAAACCTAAATGCTTTCATGTGCTTACACACATCTCAGGTTTTATTTCTTATTTTCTCTTGGTATTTTTTCGTATTTGCAATCACGAGTTTTATTGTGATCTCTTCCAAAATATATATAAAC